GCGTTCCATATATATTTACAAGTTGAATTTCCCAGATTTGAACCGATTGAATCAGGCATGACCCGTCCTGGATGACGCTGCTCTTTAGCCATAATTCGCAGGGTGCTCGAGCTGAACCCCTCGTTACATACCTCGACTGGGAGCGAGAGGCTGGGATCGAAAATGCTCATTTCTGTCCACTTGACATTCACTCATGATTGACAACACTTAAGCGGTTGCAAAAATCTGGAAGATCCTCATAGGGTATGGAACTCTTTGATTCCCTTTTGTGCTCCTTCTCCGATCCAGTGCTATCAAATTTGAAAACTAGCCAGGTATCTTTTGTATCAGCGTAAGCGCCAAGCCATTCGAATCACTATGTCGATGATAATTTGTTTTCAAAGTTCGCCTCGCCTCAGCACGGATATCACATTAGCTCAATATGCATCTGTAAAGTACAGTTTTGTTCGCCGCGGACACCGGGCCCTGTCAGGGGGAGCTGCGGTTCAGCGCGCGCCAACTTTCTGAATATCCTCACCTTCTGAAATCTTCTCAAATTCGTATCTCATCGCGGACATTAGCTCTGAGTCAACAATCTAGCGAAACGTTTTGTTTAGTCTTTGGATAATCCACAACAGCGCCATTTCTCATTTTTCTTTTGGACTTTGTGTTACACCAGTATTAACGAACCTCATGAGTCATCAGCAATTCAGTTTAATGGGAAGATGTAATGTTTCGATGGGAATTCTGCATACATAGTGCTGCAAACTTGCCAGAGAGCTCTTTCAATTTGACGTTTTGTAGTCTTCGTGGAGATCTCCATAATTTGGTGGTGATGTTCGTTATAGCCACCCTAATCATCTGTCGTCTACGCAACACAGGGCCGATGGAGTTCACGTAGTAGACCGCGTGACTTTGGGCTATGTTCTAAGGCGCCGAGCAGAACAGCTAGAAATTGTTGTTTTTGTTTCTTTCTGCCACATGCAGTTCTCCAAAGTTTTGAAAAGCAGATTCTAGAGCCGCATGACTCTTGTTCAGATCTTGCTTTTCTGTTCAGTTGTTGCTCTACTGTAATGACAACACAGAAATCAGGCTAGTGCCGTTTGGACGCGATTACTTTCCACTGTGGAGTCATTCATGAAGTCCTAGATCACCAAATCAGCTGATAACCTGTATATAGAGGTTATTTAACATGGGATTTAACATCTGATTACGAATATATGATTCATTTTTGGCGCTGGCGCTAATGGAGGACCTACAGCTACCTACTCTATTACTTCTGAACCTAGAAGAAATCGTAGTGTCTTCCATAAGGGCCAGCGCCAAGAATGAATGTCATATTCGCAAACAGGATGTTGAATAACTGCTATATGCAAGTTTTTAGCGGATTTGATAATCAAGGCACTTCATAAATGGCACAGCGGAAGTAATTGTGTCCAAACGGCATCAGCCCAGAAACCATATTTTATTGCTTTTGTTATTTGGAATCACATAGATGAATAGAATGCCTCATGGAGTGCCGATTAGCGACTATAGTCTTAGTATGCTGAGGCCATTATGTTATTTCCTCAAGATACCGGAAAAGAGGAACCTAGGTGGTAAAAGGTCCGGCCGGTAACGCTGACTATTGGATGTTTTTTACATAAGGTCATGCATGCTGAGGGACATTATAGCTTTGGGTGAGCGGGATGTGGGGAAGGGGGAGAGGTGAACAAATTGCATGAAGGAGTTCCGAGGAAACCATACGGAGCATCTTTGCCCGCTATGGATCGCAGTTAGCCTGGTTTACAGTTGTGACTGTGCACGTTGCAATAATAGATGCTGTACGTCACTTCCAAAAAATGTGACAGAAATGGAAGGAAGCTCATAACATCCACAATAGTTCACAGGTAGTCCAGAACGACCCAGTTTACTATTCTCGTTACTGCTCATACCTACGAGGATTGTAAAGCGAAAGGGTAGAACTCGCGCGTCCCAGCCCAGATAGAAGTGTGAATGCTCCGCTGTTGAAACATATAGTCAAAAGGGCAGACTATAAGTCACATCCCATTGACTTTCACAAACGTCATTTGTCATTTAATAGCCCACAATTTGGACTCAAAATAGCACAGGCAAGCTATTGATCTGGAAGTAATTTCAATATGTTCCTGTCCCATCAGCATTTACAGGATGATCATTGGCCAACATGCAGTTCTTCGCAAGTTAGCTAACTGTTCCATGTTTACTTTTAGCGAACCGTTAATACACTCATTTGTTCTCAAAACTCCTACCTCAAATGTTGCCATCTGCACGTATCAACTAATAATTTTTCAGCATGAAATCCCTAGTGGTTTTGTCAGCGGTGTTGTCCACGGCACAGCCTTGGTGGTTTGGTGTAAGCTCACAATTTGCTCTAGTTTTTATTTTTTTAAAAATCGCTACACCTATATTACACCTCTTTCGTGGGTCACTGGGCATCATATTCGCATCAAAGTCAGAATACAGGGCATTTTATAGGTCACCTGGATTCTGAATTTCTAGAACAAAGTAAGGTTTCGTACTACAGCTGGGTGATTTCTTACTAAAATAGCCTGTCACATTCTTGCAGCAGTATCGTTTGCCGTATTTTTTTACAATCATTTTTCGATTTTAGACCGCTCAAATCTATGCATAGGGACATTCTAGGAAAGTGAAAAATACTTGATATCAGTGACTCATGAGAAAGAGACAATGATCTCTCGATCAAGTTCCATGTCAAATAGCCTTTGGACCTTAGCGGTGAGGAAGTTCCAATGAACGTTACCGTCGCGAAGCTCCAGATCCACTCTTCCGCTCTTTCGTGCTTCATAAGCGGCGATTTTCATCCATAACCATTCTTTAAAAAAATTCTCAGGCGTGGCCGTCGTTTCAAGATCAAGACTAGCCTGATCCCAGCACAACGACTATTTTCGGCTCCCTACACGGTTTGGCTTTCAGTGAACGTCTGTCCTGGATAAAGGTATCAAACTGCTGGGAAATAAAAATTTAGCTGACGTGGACGGCTTACAAAGGAGCTTGGAAAGACTTGCATTACTAGAGTGTGGCGTGGAGCATTACTTAGTGTGACATGGTGCAGAAAGTAACGAACGACCGTGGGAAAGAAAAATTGAGGGGGAAAAACGGTACCCTGAAAATTTGGATGCAGTAGTTATTTTTAGTAGCGAATCATCAGGTTATGTTAAGAAGATCATCATTTGGTTCATCAGTCGAATGATTTTCAGAAAATTCAAAATCAAATGATGACCTTGTAGTTGCGGCATGCGTTGTATACAGTAGCAAAAAAAAACTTGGGACATGTCATTGTCGAGCATTTTTTCCAAGATTTCTAAGATTTTGAGACTCCTCACTCACGCACGAAAATCCTGTTTCCATGGATTAAAAATCCAGAAAAGCTGTCCAAAAATAGGAGCAAAAATAGACACACTTTTGCTTCTCTGCAGTCCTTCATAGCAGTGCAGCAAGGTGCAGTTACCAGAAGAACTTCTCATTTGAAACAGTTGAAAACTTGTGGTTCAGCTCAAAATGTATTCACCTTTAACAAACCATATTTCATTCTAGAACTTCTGGATTCGATATCCTTTCCTTCAGCAAGCATCACTTGAAGCTAGAGCGGCGTTCAACGCCATTGACAAGGTGAGTTTCCCAAGAGGAAATAGAAATGAAAAAATTCAAATATTCTAGAGTGAATGAATATCCACAAAAAATCCGTTCAGAATGGAACTCTGACTAGAGCACAACGTGAAGAAGCTTTGGACAGATGGGCAGCGCAGTACAACTTAGTAGTGAGTATTGATACTTTCCATTTTCATTCTCAAGGAATTTTGCTCAATCACTAATAGTGGATCGTCAACATCACAAAACCTGACCAAACGCAAGTGCTACACATTGAGCATAGCGCATACGGAGTGGAAATAGCAGTGAGGTATCATTACCCTCCAGTTTTGTACCGTTGCACTTTTGAACGGAGAACGTGACATGCTACCACAGCTGCGGACCTATTCACCTCGTACATGCCAAGAAGCCACCCGGAAAGTGAGCGTACAACTATCTTTACGAGCAGATTATTTCCAAAAAGTTGGAAAGACCTTCAGTGGCTGTTGATCATACTTCTGCACCGATTTGTTCACATAGCACGGCTGCTGCCTGTAAACCTTCTCAGTGGCCTCTCATACTTAGTCAAACGGTAGCTTCGTTCCTAGCTCACTACAGAACATCTTTGAATGTTCTGGTCCTGCTCCATGCTATCCTTCTAACAGAAAGCTCGTGAACAACTATTAGGTTGTCCGGAAAGTCCTCAGCGTTTTGTGCACCTATTTTTTTGTACATTCACTGCTGATTAAAAACTTATTCTGCCTTGCCTCTCAGTAGCACATCCTGTACAGAATTCTGCGCTATCTGATGGTATAATTGCCGTTTCACCATTACTTGAGAAACCCCCTTTTTTCAAGATTTTTTCAAGCATGTGAAAAGAGCACTTCGGACGGTTTTTTTCTTCGACTATAAATTGGGGCAATCCGAAATCGAAACAGCTCAACAAATTAACCAGGTGTGGGGGCATAATGCTAGAGAAAGCACAATGGCTCAACAAATTTCGTTCTGGAGGTTTCAGCCTTGAAGATGAACCTCGACCTAAAGCAATATCCGACGAGGATTTTAGGGGGATTTCGGAGGTTGACCCATCCCAAACAGTTCGAGAGATAGCAGAAGAACTAGGCCTTGGCAAATCCACTGCTGCAGATGGTCTGGAACGCATTGGGAAGATGAAAAAACTCGACAATTGGGTGCCCCACGATCGGAGTGACCGGCAGGAATAGGCACGTTTCGAGGTTCCTTCTGCATTGCTTTTGCGCAGCAGAAACGACCTGTTTTTGGACTGAATTGTCACCTGTGATGAAAAATGGGTCATGCATGATAAGAGGAGACGTTCCGGACAGTGGTTGGATTTCGACGAACCACCGAGGTATTTTTCAAAGCTGAACCCTCACGAAAAAAAAGATTCTGGTCACGGTTTGGTGGTCATCGGCTGGTGTGATCCACTATAGCTTTTTATCACCAGGCCAAACCATCACAGCAGAACCCTAGTGTGAAGAAATCGACGAATTGTACCGAAAATTTTGTTAGATGCAGCCAACACTTATCAAAAGAAAAGGTCCGATTCCTTTGCATGACAACGCCCGCCAACACGTTTCACAAATCACTATCCATAAATTGAACGAATTATTGGTTGAAGTCCTACCTCAACCGCCATATTCTTCAGACCTTTCGCCAACCGACTATCACCTTTTCTAACATTTTCAGAACTCCTTGCTGGAAAATACTTCATCAATCGGGACCAGGCAAAAAAGCCTTAGTGGAGTTCGTGAATTTTCGACCACCCAGTTTCCAACTTTGATGGGATTCCTCGTCTGCTGTCACATTGGCAAAAGTGTGCTGATTCGAGTGGTGCCTATTTCGATTGAATCCGATGAAAATTAAAAAAGTTACGATCGTTTAAAGTGAAACACCCAAAACGCTGGGAACTTTCCGGACAACCTAATATATTTCAGAGACTGACCTCATCACGCGTGTAACTAAAGGTCACGGGATTTTCGACATAGTCTGTGGACAGGAGTAGAAAACTGCGAATTTCAGAACATCGGCCGACGTTCGTCTCCTATCCATAAACTGTAGCTCTTGGGGGCGTGTTAATACCTTGAGAAGCGGTGCGAATTCCGATAAAAATCCATTTTAAAAACTCTACGCCTCCTAACTTTGATGAATCTACAAACACAAAGTATGCTCAACTCAAAACTTGCTGCTGTCTCCGTCCACGTGGAGTTGAACCACTCACAATAGTAATGGCTCCAAGATTTAGTGAGTACGTGACGACGCTCAAAGGTTCCCGACGGAACGGCTTACCTGTCTTAACTTTTTTTCCTGCACGAACGAATCATGCGGAATTCGAATACCTCAGCATCATGTAAATATTTTGCCGACTCGTTCTGTACAGTTTTATTCACAGTACTTTGGGTAGAGTTAGTTCAAAGTAGCTGGAAATGCGGAAAGCGCAGCTTCGCGAGATTCTTTTTAGTTGCGAAATGACCCTATGTAAAGCAAGGGGGAGCATTTGACTAGGTAGCCATTATTTTTATATCACCTCAGCAGCACAGCATGAGGCCACCGCTTTTATGACCCGGTTAAGCAAGGCGTCCCTTTTATTGAGTAGTTGTACGAATCTACATATTGCCCGCAGTCGCCCTTAGGTGTTGGACAGTACTTTGAGATTGTCCTACATGTGTTTTGAAGTCAAAATCGTTGATTACTTCGGCTACCACAGAAATTCAACCCAACTTCGTTCTGATATAAGGCGGTCGTACGATTTTAAAGACGTTTTTTTAGAGAATCATGCTGCCTTAGCATATCCCGCAATCATACCGCACTCCTTTTATGACAAAATGACGTTGACAATCATCCTCTAAAAACTTCACAATAAATTTTAGCTGCTTTGAGGATATAACCCATTTTACCCACTGGCAAGACACTGCGGGCTAGCACGTCCATTTACCATACTCTTTTGGTTTTTTGAAGCTTTTGCTGAAAAGACGTTATTCTTGAATGCGTCACGCTAGCGCAAACGGAACTTTTGTCTACTTTTGCTTCAGACAATCGTCATCCACGTGAAGTGAAGGTGAGATCTGCCAAAGCTCTCTAATTTTTGGCACAATGGGAAGTTTTTGGATGGATGTTTAATTGCCACTCGAGGGTCTTCCATCGGTTTGACGGTATGTCAGTGTCACCGAGCGCATGATTTCGGCCGCAGTCCGATAAGAATCCCTTTCCAACCACTTTCAGCGTGCAAGAAGTGCATCGTAAGATCTCTTGATATCTGTGCATCACAGACATAAATTCTGTTCCGTTTACACTCATAAATTGATCGCAACGGCTCACGTGGAACCTTGGAAATTGTTGAAGTACGTTCACGGCAGATGCTTCCTTCCTTACGGCCACTTCTTGGACAGTTCGAGGAATTTTCTTCCCTTTCTGTCACGTGACAAACGTATCAGAATTAATCTTGAGCAAACTATTAATGAAACGAAAAGGGAATTCAAATGCAGTCCATATCGTTGAAGATAACTATCCAGAGCCTGGCTGTGAGCGCGATGTGGGTAGACTGTTGGAGTTTATCCACAGAAGTTGTATGGATGAAGTGTGAGGTGGGGACTCTTGTATACAAGTCTAAGACTCTCTTCATTCAAAGACCCTCGTCAGCATTAGGACATGGTCACAGGGTACAGCATCGTTATGTGTGAGGTGGTGGTTAGGTACGATCCCCCCTCTCCGAGAAAGGGTGTCAGTGCGTCACCCTTACCTAAATGAGGGTCTTGGTAAGACTCCCCCCCCTTCCCCAAGACTACCTACGAAAGTCCCCCATTTCCCAGTTTTTTCACCAAAAAAATTTCCGTTAAGCGGGGAGCGGGAGATATGTGGTGTACACGAAACAGGAAAAATCAATCAAAGTCAGCAACCGGAAAACCAACGAGAAGAATTTCGCTCGAAGACATATACCACTCCTCCTTCTCCCAACGACCATATAGGACTCCCCTCCTCAGAGAAAAAGTACGACACCCCTCCCCTATGTGTTTCACTCAACGATGCTGTACCCTGCATTGTCATAGCAGTTAGAGAGACGTCACCGGAGGTACTCTTATTAGTCGGTTCGAAGGATGGAGACCTTGAAATTCTACATTCTATATCTGAGATGGGGAAGGTATTGCCACGTACATCATTGGAATGGGGCGGCGGTTGCGCCCATTGTAGATAACTGCCTTTTTGGGACGATTGTGATCACGTCTTTGTTCAGCACAAGACGGCTGTATCAGATGGGGATATTTTACGAACAACATAGAACGGGATACACAGGTACGCCTCCTCTCTCCACCCCATTACAGTGGATTCCACTAGGATGATAAGTCCCGTTCCATAAGCATTTCGCCTCTTCGTTGTTGCCTTTCAGCTAAATCCGGTTACGGTTTCCATTGTAGCTTTGCAGTATTCGCTCTACATGCTCTAGCAAACCACACCTACTTGTTTTCCACCTGTAGACATACTCCCTTGACCTAGTTTGGTGATCGTTGTGCTCGCAGTTTTCCCTTGATTGATGTCAATGTTAGTCAGAAAAAGAAGTGACTGATGTCTAGCTGGACAAAGAAATGTGAAAGCACACACTTTGGTTTTCCAGAGGATTACTCCTCTGAAAAACCAAAGTGTATGCTTTCACCCTTCTTTGTCCAGTTAGACATCAGTCACTTTTTTTTCTCCAGTCCTACGTAGTTGTTATGAAGTTTTAGGATGCCTACAACTCTTACAAAAACACAACAGAACGAGCAAAAGCTGATCGACAACTTGCGATTTTGAGAGGATTAGACGAGCTGCAGAAATTTTTCACAGAGCTCGGACGGATTCAAACAAATCCGGTGAGTTACTCTGCAAGGTAACATATGACGTAGAGGGAATCTTATCAGAAATAAGAAGTTTTAGAGAATAATCCTACAGTCTTGCTAGCTGCTCATGCTGAGGCTTGTCAGAGAATGGCGAGGCGAGTGCCTGTTTTCCACCAGTGGTTGTCATTACAAGCTCCACCATCTGCTAGTGAACGGGCTGGCGCTGCGCCAGACCCAGCCGTCCTAACACGTCCTGGAATCCGCAACGAACGAGACTGCACAGTCCATGATCCGCTAAGCATGTGTGTGTCTGTGATAACATAACTCTCTAGCTTTAGCAGCAAAGTGTTCACTCTGCTATGTGGTACAGGAGGCAGTATAGGAACACCAGTGGGTGATATGATAAAATACTGGTC